AACTATATAGGAATACATTTAAAAATTACATTATTGACTCTTTTACGTTTTCCGATATGAGCTTGCATAATTGTTGATATGGGTCAACGAAGATCGTTATCGAACTTGTCTCTTGAACCTGCCTTCCGATGTATGTCAGCAGGACAGCTCTATTATAATCGGACGCAGTCTGGACGATTGTGACGTATCTATACAGTATGACATCGTTATCGTTTATTGCTAATTGCGATTATTATCAAATCAGTTTGACCGGTGGTGCCACGCTGACGGAAACAACTCGTGACACGGACTATAGAACAAAAACATCTAAAAACATACTTTGTCGCATTTTTTACGTCATATTATCTATATTTCTTGCGACAACGCAACCTTTATGCGAACAGAGAATGAGTCGTTATCTTTTACTGCTCAGCCATTAGAGACTGTAACATGTATCTATCTTTACGCACTACTTTTTTTATATTATTTTTTATATTTTTATATTATATAATTTCAAGAGCACAGACAAGACTACGAGAAAATGTGCGTATAAAGCAGCACGGGAATGCAAATTGCGAAGAATATTTATCTAGAGAAAATTATCCAAAAATAAAATTGATAACAAAAACCTAATAATAATTTTTTTCTGAAAAGATTGACATATGAATATACGTTCTAAAACATTAGGAATGATTCACTTGTAAATTTTATAACACGCAATGCACAAGGTGAGATTTAAATTTTGAAAACTTTTTCTACTTTTATATTTAAGAAAAAATCCACTTACTATTAAATATATTTAATAATAAATACGGGAAAGTGTTAAAAATTAATTTCAGAATTAATAAATTTCAATTAAAATTTCAGTTTGACAAATTTTTCGTCAATATTGCAATACGATATAAAATAGAAACTTGTAAAATAAATGGCAATACTTAGAAAGCTTTTTCTTGACATAACTTGGAAAGAGTATCAATAATTTCACGTACTCACTGCATTTTCACGCGAGATAAAGAAATGAAATCAATTTGGGTGAACTATCGAAGACTTACGTCGCTTATACGACAAATCGCATGATTATTGAGACGCGATGATCGAAGCCGATGCGAAACTGGGAAAGACCGCAAATAAAGACTAAAAGAAGAAGCCACGGAAACGCGGTGAATGCGCGAAACTGCCGGTGCGAATCCAAACTGCGCACCCCATAACTCACCCCCGCGGATCCACCAAGCTGATCGCACACTGCAGTGCGTAAATAGTGGGTTAAGAAGAATGTGTAGCTGTATTCTTGCAACTCATAAAAATCGTAACTTTGTCGGCCTAACACATTAATATTTCAACTATTAAACTTCACCTAGACAATTTGTTTATAAATTGCAATTTTATCTGTACCCTTTCGTGACGAATGAGCTGAAAAGTGAAAATAAAAAATATCACACGACTTTTGATAGATGTCAGGAATAAAAAAAAATAAATCGTTATAAAACAGCTTTAATATGGAAAGCGTGATGTAGACACATAGCGATAGTTGATTCGTTGGAATAGCGTTATTGAACCAGAATGCCTAATGCCGCACCGTGGCAAGAACACGTCATTGCGTGAGGGTAGATATTTACTGTCACACTACGCGAATTTTTTTTAACATTAATTTTTTTTTAGCTAAGCTTCGGACTATTGTATTCAAGCGATATTCACAATATTTTTGAAGTGAGATGTCAATATATCGATATGTAAAATGAAACGTGTC